ATATATTAATGGGGGTATATTGATTAAATGTGGCTAATTCCTCCTTTGCACAAATAGAAAATGAAGGGGAGGAAACGAAAAGATCAATTTCTGTTTGTGACGATATGACTCTGGCATCTCTGGCACTGAAGGTGTACCATCTCAGGCACGCTATCGTCCATAGGTTTATTTTGCCTAATTTGCACCACTAACTGTTCCACTAAATGCAAGGAATCAGCTTTGGTAGCGTATCCACTGTCAATGCAGGATATACTGCATATATCTGGTTACTATAGGATATTTAGGATATTGTATGTATGTATGTATGTATGTGTATATATAAATATTTTTGTGCTCGAATTTAATACGTAATGGTTAGTGACTGAGATGAAAGTTGGTTGTGGTGTGCCGAAAACCAACGTATGAGTGGGCCTGTAAATAAAAGAGGGCCCACCAAGGAGAGTTGTAATGCTATAAGGGTGAAGGTGGGTGGGGACAATCAACTTGCCGGCAGAGGTGAGTTGGGGCTGGGAGTTTAAGTAGGGGACTTACTCCTCCCACAAATTCAGGCCTAATGGCCTTTCTACTTGTGCTCGGAATTTAATACGTAATGGATAGTGACTGAGATGAAAGTTGATTGTGGTGTGCCAAAAACCAACGTACGAGTGGGACTGTAAATAAAAGAGGGCAAAGAGAAGTTTAAGGAAAAACACACTTTATTGCATTTAGTACATAACCAAATTCCTGAAGGCTTGGCGAAGCTCTCTTTCTGGTCGTGGTATGTACGTATGGTATATGGAGGATTTCCATCGACCCAGTCTCTTGATGATGTTAACCGGGGTGTTTGTACTAGAAGCTGATGAAGCAGCTCCTATGCGGAAGGAGTGGCCATAGAACGAAGCCGGGTTGTAACCCAGTTTTGCCAGTAAGGTTCTGACATGCATCGTGAATTTAGCAGTGGTGAGTGGGTGCCCTTGTAGTAATAAGAGCGGAGAGTCTGGTAAGTGCGTGTGATGAGTTGACCGTAGGTGGTCTAGTGCCTTAACCCAACACCAAGCATTATCAGTGGGAAAGAGGGGAATAATAGTGGGGTGTAGTGAGTGATTAGTTTTGGTAGATGGGAGCGTGAGTACGTAGTGATCTTCCACCTTAGTGAGGTGTGAGGTTTTTAGGCTGTGTGAGATATCCCCTTGACAAATAACGGTGAATTCTCTGGGTCTGAGGAAACTGTAAAAGGCTAGATAAATTGCAGACTTGATCACCATGTTTGTGTTGGAATCGAATGGGGATTCATCAAGTTGATTGCTGAGTAATCTAAAGATAGGCCCATCTATTGGTAGTCTGGTGGTGGTAAGTGGAACAGAAACCTTTGAGATACCCTTTAAGGCTTTCTTGATGGGGTATGATGACAGGAAGGGTGTGTTGTTAGGGAAATGATTGAGACTGTGGTGCTGAACCCCCTTGAGGTATAGTTTAATGGTATTGTGAGAAAGTTTTAAATGTAAGTGGCAGAAGGAGGCAAAAGCCACAATGGTTTGAGTTGAAAAATCACCTTGAAATCCAAAATCTGCTGTCAATTTATTAAAAATGGTAAGTGCCCTACTGTAGGTGACAGCTGTGTTAGGTGATAGTGCTTGGTGTATGAGAGACCTAGCGTGGTGCATTAGTGCATTCAATCCAGGATTAGTTCGTGAAACTGCGGTGTCTTGGATGGCTGACGGTATGGCAGTGTCTTGGATGGCTGAACTGGAATTGAGAGCGAGACAGCGGCCGTGTTGTGGATACCCGGGATGTGAAAACAGACTAAGTGGAACTGGATGGTTGCTGCCAACCAGGTCAGCTTGTGAATCAGCCGCATGATGGTAAGGGAGGATGAGCACTCCTTGTTTATGATATCGCAAGCTGCTGAGTTGTCGGAATAGCATTTTACTGCCTTGCCGGACCAGAGATGACCCCAAGAGTGTGCGGCCGCCACTATGGGGTAAATTTCAAATACGGCTGAAGTCTCTCTGAATCCTGGCAAGGCATCCGTCTCAGCAGGCCAGTGACCCCTGAACCAGTGATTACCGAAGACAGCTGCGAAACCAGTGTTGGCTGCAGCGTCTGTGTGAATGATGGGTGAGGAGTCGGAGAGAGGGGGGATAAACATGGAGATACCATTCCACTCAGCCAAAAACTTCCCCCACATGAGTAGGTCAGCCTTTGGGCAGGAGTCTGGTACCCCCTGAAGCAGACTGAGAAGCCTGGATACGAAAGACCTACCCTGCGGAATAATGCGCATCGCAAAATTTTGGGTCCCCAAAAGGGACTGAAGTTCCTTTCTGGTGCATGCATCACTCCGCAGGAACATGTCTATCTCCCCTCTCAAGCGGACCAATTTGTCGGGGGGAAGGCTGGCTAGGAAGGTACCAGAGTCCAGCTCGATCCCCAAGAGGTAAGTTTATTAGTGGGGCCGATGGTTTTGGAGGGTGATAAGGGTACACCGAGTGTGGAAAAAAGTGCTGAGGTGTTGAGGATATTAGTGGGTGTACGTGCGCCTGGTTCTATTAGTAGGAAGTCGTCCAAGTAGTGAATGACTGAGTGACACCTGAGAACGTTTAGGAGCAGCCAGCATGTTGTTTCTGCGAATATATCAAACAGTTTGGGGCTGCTTCTAGACCCTAAAGTGAGGCGTGTGTAAAAATAGTATCTGTCTCGCCATTTAACACCGTGCAGATGCCAGAGTGATGGGTGCATGGGTAGTAATTTGAATGCGTTTGTAATGTCGGTTTTGCTTAGCCAAGCGTTTCTACCTGTTGAAATGATGGATTGGATTGCATCGTCAATTTTAACGTACTGTAATGAAAATTCTTCTGCGGGTATGAGTGAGTTAATGCTGGGAACAAAAGAGGCGTGCAGTGCCAATAAATCGATAATTATACGTTTTTTATTAGAGTATTTGTGCACAGCTATACCAATAGGGTTAGTGCGCCAGGAGGAAAAAGGTGAGGAGGTGAAGGGGCCGATCATGAAACCGTGTGAGATTTCAGAGGAAAGCAGAGTGTCTGTGGATACTGGGTCTTGGCAAATATAAAAATATGATGGAAGGTAACTGAGAATGAGATAAATAAATAAAAATCTATCAAAAAAGAAAGGGCTGCATCACATACAGAAGAGCGACTGAATTGTTAGTGTAAAAAATATAAAAAATGGTATGTGAGCGCTCCAAAATATTAAATCATGACCACTAAAACAGCATAATAGCAGCTGTAGAAAAAAACTTATATAGATCTGATAACACCTCTGGGATAATGTGAATGAATGAGTTCTAACCATAAATATATCAAGTATACAGTATACAAAACATCATTTATTAAACATATAAAAGAAATAACATCTAAATCAGTATTGCTGCAAATAAATGTATCACATAAATAAAAAGCACAAAGTGTCCAGAACAGGAGTCCAAGGAATTAACACAGTGTGGGGCCCCCTACAGAAGGCTATTACAAACTGTGGTATTGATAATTTTTTGTTACGCCTAGGATCTCTAGTTTTAAGCACCACTGAGATATCCCCGTAGTTATATGCCTGGTTCCCCAGCAATTCATGAGAGGCTATCAGCAGACACACCAGACACACATCCCTCTCATCTAGGATTTCTTTCTGCGCTGGTGACACAAAAGGTGACGTAACTGTGGCTGGTGCTGGAGGAGGATTTATAGGGGAGAGTGGTGTTGTAGCAGAGACTGCCGGGATGGGGGCTGAGAGGCCAGGGAGGTTACCTGGGGTGGTGATGGCACTCTCCACCTTAGATAACCTGTTGTTCAGGGTCTGCAGATAGTCCCGGGATTGCTGCCAGGGTGTCCTGAGTGGCCGTGCAAGCGCCTGATGGCTGTCCTTGAGAGCTAGTGCCTGGCCTAGGCTTGGGGGCCTGATTGGTCAAAAGTCTAGAAAGTTCCGCCATTCTAGCCGTAGCTGGAAAGGGGATTCACCTGGAGATTCTGGTCTGATGGGAGTGAACGGGATCTCTTCGGCAGACAACTCGTCGGTGGGGGCTGGTTCTTGAGACATTCTAGAAATTAATTGGTGAATTAGATTTAATAGGGGCGAAGGCAGGAACAGAGGGGGAGCATGGGGGGGGGGGGTTCCCTTAGGTGAACTGGACTGTGAACTAGTGACAAGTGAGGCCCTGCTAATGCCGAGTGGCAGTGAGAGGCCCTATCTATGATTTGGCCGAGGGAAGTTTGTTGCCACAGACGTGGTGGCGGGATGTAGGCCTCTCGATGACTTTTTAAGAGATTCAAACGTGTGGCCGTGAAAAGTGAGGCTCTGACTGCAGCCCTGTAGAAGGGCGAACGAGGCATCTAACTATGATTTCGTCGTGGGGCCGTACCTCCGTGTTGAGGTGGGATATGGCCTCGCGGGTCCGGAATTTACTTGGGTGAGCTAGGGCCAGAGCCTAGACCCTGTAAGCCAGTTCACTTGCCTTCTAGACCCTGTAAGCCAGTTCAATGGTAATTATGGTGTAATGAGTGGATACTAACCTTGACAGTGGTTATAACCGGTAAAAACTTTTTTTTTTTTTAATTCTTTATTTTTCTTGTGCATAAGATAACATACAAGCTTGCAGAGCCACGACAGCAGATGCAAGCATTTCAACAATATTTATATACGTGGCAGAAAAAAACCCAGCACATTTTATATATATATATTGAGAATAACAAGCTTTGATGCATTAGTAAAATGTAGTGTTAATGCTAAGCTACATACGCTTATTAAAATAATGGTTATGCTTAGAGTTATAGGTGTGTGGCATAGCATTTATGAGAAGAGTAATCGTTGTTACTTCGTTAAGCAGGCTGAGATATGTGTACATGGAGTACGTATGAGAGGTTAGATTATGCGCCTAGGTTGAATGTACTCCTATGGCTATCGCATGGTACAACATAAAATTAATAGAACATAAGATTAATAATGCCAGCAAGAAAGTAAAGCAATATAATAAAAAGTAAAATAATAAAATAATAAAATCCCCTTGCGTTGCGGTGATCCATCGTGTGTGGTAGTGGTTGACTGGCTGGACCGTGCAGCTGGAGTATAGTAACCTCTGTTGCAGTGAGTGCTTGAGGAGGTCTTGTGCTCAGTCTTGCCCGTTGTCTCCGTGTTGCAGCTTGCGTGGAGGAGGTGAGTGTTTAACTCTCTGCCGCCATCTTTTGGCTTTGTTCCCTGCTGGAGCTGCTCGTTGTCGCTGGGGGTCAGATGGCGGCTGTCAGGGTGAGTGGCTTTCTGTATTGTACTTTGTTGAAGTCTGTGCTCCAGCTTGAGCCAGAATTCTTGAAATATGCGGTCCAGGTTGGACACATGATTGCGTTGCACCTCTTGGTTGTCTGAGGGCCGCGTGGTCTCCGCCATCTTTGGTGTGCCTCTCATCTCTCCTGCTAGCCTCCCTGTTGTTGCCACTGTGTCGAGGAGGAACCCGAGGGGTGGATTACCCCCGGCCGGTCCAGGGGGGGGCTGCGGGATGCCCGCTTGGAGCAGTCGGTCCTAAGGCAGCTCCAGACCGGGAGATCAGCCGCCCCTCCCATCCGTCGCCAGCCAGGCCGCAACGCGTTTCATCAGCAGACTTTATCAAAATGGAATAGCATTTTATATTGTGTATTTTAATATTAAAAGCAATTTTTGGTCATTTATTTGTTCCAATTTTTGGCTTTTTATTATTATTTTATTATTTTCTAGTTTTTTATTTACTATTATTTTATATATTTATATCCATTTTTTGGATTTTTAACCATTGGGAAGTCTCCTGTATTTCAAGAAATCCAGAGGTGGGGATCAATCCACCTATGCTGATATAAGAGAGCAGTCGGTCTGCTCCTCATTTGTTAGTACGTTTTTATCTATTTATATTAAGACTACTATACAGTGAGCACTATCGGCTGTTTCTTCTTTTTCGTATTTGAGAGTTGAACGCCACTGACGGAGAGATACCCACGACATATCCCATAAGCGGTGATCATACCGCTGTATGCGCTTTTACCCTAGAGCTGGATATAAGCTCTATCAAATATGAGTTCTCCACTATTAATTCTAAGCACGTCACTATTGGAATTATACAATACTGCACTATTGGTCGTCCCTCTCTCTCTTTTTTGTCTTCTATATAAGTGGAACTAATACACTTTATGAAGACTTGCACTACTTGCCGGGTCTTTTTCAAATATATATATATATATATATATATATATATATATATATATATATATATATATATACACAAGCACTTTTGAAATTTGTAAAGTCACATTGAATTAATGTTACAATTATTTTATTGAAGTTCTGTACTTTTTTTAGGTCATTTTGTTTGTTGTTTTTTTGGTGTTCAGATCTGTGTTTAACAATGCATTGACATATGTGTGTGTGAGTGTCTGTGTGTGTGTGTGTGTGTGTGTATGTCTTTTATACAATTGTGGAGTTGTTGCATTGGCATTTGTTAAACATGCACTGAAATATAATTTTCACAACATATAGTATTTGCGCCACTGCTTAGTCATTTGAGAAAGTTGCAACATTGGCATCTTCTATGACCTTTACAGATTTAATGTCTGATCATCAAGATTGATGAAATGTGCATGCTTATTCTGATGCATCTTTAAGACAACAGGCTGGTCCCATTCAAATTTGTCCATCTATGGATTCAGTGCCCTTTTATGGTTCCTGAATCCATACATAAAGGTGCCTCATTTTGTGTTTTTTGGTCTTGACCCAGCTTGTTCCTAAACATTGTGCTAGCATTCTGGTTTCCCTAACTCTATGCCTGCTTACCTTCCCTATTACAGATTATGCATCCTGGTTTCCATGACCCTGCTTCTCCTGGCTTTGTATTTCATTTGCCCTGGCCTATTAATATTTTTAACTTGGCTCTAATATTTTCCAATTACATTTAAGTGTTAAGACCAGCCACCCTAACATCGGATGATACACTTTCTTTTCCTGTACCTTTTGTTAGGTTGTAGCCCTGTATCTTGCTGAGGATCATTCCAGTTTTGTGACAGAATGCTTACTAATGACCATCAGATTTAGCAGGTCACATGGGAGTCACACATTGTCTCCAAAATGTATTTAGTGCTGCAGCAACTAAAGAAAGTTAATATAAACAAAGCTCCAGGGTCTGATGGTATTCACCTACGAGTACTTAAGGAAGTGTGGAAATAAGTGAACCTCTGTTTCTAATCTTTAACGATTATTTTCTTTCAAGAGTTGTACAAGAGGATTAGTGAAAGGTAGCTGTATATTCCTATATTCCTATGTTCAAAAAGGGATCAAAATTCTTGCCTGGAAATGATAGACATGTGAGCTTAACTTCTCTAACTGGGAAAGTATTTAAAAGGTTATTTAGGGATAATATTCAGGAATTCATTTATGGAACATAGGTCATGTCAAACTAACCTAATTGGATTTTACAAAGAAGTAAGTAGAAGTATTAATCAGAGTGTTGCAGTGGATGTGATCTACTTGGATTTTGCCAAGGCAATTGCTATGGTTTTACAAAATAGGTTAGTATTCAAACTCAAAGAAATTGGTCTAGATGACTTTTTTTTTTCTTGGGTAGAACATTGGCTTAAAAATAGAGTACAGAAAGTTACTATTAATGGTAAATTTCCAGGCTGGACAAAAGTGGTAAGTGGTGTCCCTCAGAATTCTCTTCTGGGACTGCTTTTATTTAACATATCTATAAATTATCTTGAAATAAGCATTAAAAGTAATGTGTCAGCATTTGCAGATGACACAAACCTCTGTAAAGTAATACAATGTGAGCATGATATTACTTTGCTGCATTTGGATTTAAATAGACTGAGTGACAGGGCACTCAAATGGCAGATGAAATTTAATGTAGAAAAATGCAAAAAAAAAAGTTTTGCACTTCGGAGTAAAGAATGCACAAGCAGCGTATACCCTAAATGGTAATGAATTAGGGATAACAACACACAAGAAGGATTTGGGAATTGTTATAGACAACAAACTAGGCAACATTGTACAATATCAATCAGCAGTGGGTAAGGCCAGTAAAGTATTGGCATGTATTAAAAGGGGCATTAATTCTCGGGATGAGAATATCATTGTGCCTCTTTATAAATCACTGGTAAGATCACATCTTAAATATGCTGTGCAATTTTGGGCACCTATTCTAAATAAGGATATTATGGCACTAGAAAAAGTGCAGAGGCAGGCGACAAAAGGAATGGAACAATTTAGCTATGAAGAAAGATTAACAAATTTAAATATCTTTAGTTTGGAAAAATGGTGCCTCAGAGGGGATATGATAAGATTATACAAATATATCCAAGGCCAAAGCAAACCATTGTCCCGAAATCTATTCATAAGCAGGACTATACATACAATACGTGGTCACCCATTTAGACTGGAATAAAGGAGATTTAGACTAAGGCAAAGGAAAGGGTTTTTTTACAGTAAGAATAATAAGGATGTGGAATTCTCTGCCTAATAAAATAATATTCAAATATATAATTTTTCAATTGTAGGGCAATAGCTTCTTATCCAGGGATAAAGTTGACTGCCATTCAGGGGTCAAGAAGGATTTTCCCCCTAGTTTATTGCAAAATTGGAAGTGCTTCAAACTGTTTTTTTTGCCTTCTTTGGGATCAACAGCAAACCCTCCCCCAAAAAAAAAAGTGAGAAAGACTGAACTTGATGGAACACATGTCTCTCTTCAGCCTATGTAACTATGACACAGAGTAATACATAGAAAAAAATAAGAAATTACCATTGAGATCATAACTATTAAACTCACTGCACATTAATTAAATCTGTTCCCAAAACTTCCATTTAGAAACTGTTTCGTCCTTTATACATCAATGCCAACCATCTCATTTCCTTATTAACTCCACTTTCTCTGTTTGATTAGTTCCTTATTTTTCAGTATATCCTATTTATTGCAAATTTTCTGTAGTACATATGTATAAGCAATATTATTAATAGCCACTGGCACAATTACACATATACAGTCAGGACTGACAGCCTTCTGGGCTCCTGGGTAAAATTACGTCTTGGGCCCCTTGATATATTTATTTTTATACGTATATATATATATATATATATATTTTTTTTTTTTTTTTTTTATTATTATTATTATTTAATTATTTTTTTATTATTATTGAAAATGTTGGTACAGACAGTTGGATTTTGTGTTGTGTGGCAAATAAAGGGAAGAGGATCTTCTTTTTCAGGAAGGATCAATGGGTACCCATGGAAGGGGGTGACACAGGATGGTAAAGGCAAGCCCAGTATTAGTCCCATGTTTTCCATATATTCTGATATGTGTTCAAGGAGCCTAAAATCCTGTGGGGAATCTCTCTGTAGTTGTGAATGGTCTGTAGAGTGTGAGAGATTGGTCATGTGAGAGGAGACTTCTAATTTCTGGCATTTTCTTTTTTTTTTTTTATCATTCAGGTTTATTGAAAGTGCAACATAAGAAAGTACTGAATATGAAGCTAGGTATATAGCAGGGCTATGTAGTATAATCACTTACAAGCAGAACATTTTTACATATCACAAGTTGTCAGTCACTCAATAAGCAGGATGTGGTACAATATCCTCTTTGCTGCCTTTGACACTCTTCAATCCCTCACTCTCTGTGACACTGTCCTCTCGTGGTTCTCCTCCTATTTCTCTGAACGTTCGTTCGGTGTCCCCTTTTGCAATGAAACCTCCTCCTCTCGCCCTGTCTTGGTTGGAGTCCTCCAAGGATCTGTTGTTGGTCTCCTTCTGTTCTCTCTTTATATTGACTCTCTTGGCAAACTCATTAACTCCACTACCATCTGTATGCCAACGACAACCAGATATATCTCTCCTCCCCTGATCTCTCCCCCATGGCCCTACAACATATCACTGCTTGCTGTTTTTTAATCTCTGATTTAGATGTCCTCCCTCTTTCTGAAACTCAAACTCTCTAAAACTGAGTTTATTATTTTTCCCCCTCATAATGCTGATCCACCTCCTTTGCTTTCCCTGCAAGTTAAAGGTACTTGCATCAGTCCGTCCTTGCAAGCTCGTTGTCTTGGTGTTATCTTTGATACTGGCCTTACCTTTTTGCCTCATATCCAGATTTTTGCTAAAATCTGTCGATTCCACCTTAAAAAACATTGCCTGCAATCTGACCTTTCTCACGCAAGATGCTGCCAAGGAGCTTGTTCATACTCTGGTAATCTCTCTCATGGATTACTGTAATTCTCTCCTAGTTGGTATCCCCAGAAGCCAAACTTCCCCACTTCAATTAGTAATAAATGCTGCCACCAGGCTGATCTTTTTCACCTGTCGCTCTTCCCATACCTCACCCCTCTGTCAATCCTTACACAGGCTTCCTGTATCCTATAGGTGTCAATTCAAAATACTAA